GGGGAGAGGGGCCGGGGGGCTCCTAGGCTCACCCTAAAACAACCAGTCAGAAGCGGGGTGACTAACGTGTGGCAGTGAGACATCAACACCATGGGGACTCACAGACAGAAGCAGCTTTGTTCAATGTAAACATCGATCGAAGGGACAGCAGTCTCTCTCTCTCGCGCGTGCGTGCTCTCGCTCTCTCTCGCTCTCTCTTGCTTTCCACAGACTGAATAATTTCTTTGAAAACGTAAACATATTGGAAGTGCCTTGACTGAGGTATTGAGGTATTCCTCCAAGGTTAAGGCTGTTACCGATGCAGGCTGAGCTGGGCCTCCTGCAGCAAGCTGTCGAAATCCATGGTCTCGTACTTGCTTTTCACTGGAGCTGGGGAGGACTCCTCCGCGCCGCAATCTGGGAACAGCAGGGACACAAGGCAGCTGGGTCAGGGACTGAGGAGGGAAACTGAGGCACAGAGAGACACCGCTTGCTCCTCCGCTACCAGCGTGCTGCACCCCAGGACCACAAACCCCCATCTGCCCTGGGAGCCAGCCAGGACAAGGCGGTGATGGCGAAAGGGAGCGGGGACGGTGCTGTCCCTCCCCCACTGAAAAGGGGCTGTAGCAGTGCCCAGCCCCGCGGGTCACACACCACAGGTACCCATTCCCAGGTGTGCAAACACCTGCTGGATCCAGCTGAATCCCGAGGTGCTGACACAGGACCATCCCTGCGGGAGCTGTGCCAGTGGCGGGGAGGGGGAGCCTCCCTACCCCTCTGTCAGAGGCTGAGCAAACAGTGCCACCGCAAAGCCTGGGACATTCAGCTAATGCCAAAAATAAGGCTGCCTCATTTATCAGCAGCTTAAGCCTTTTGGGTGTGGATTTGTGAAGGAGCCATGAATGGCACGGCTGCGTTTCACCCCTGCCCATGGGCTCCCCATCTCATCCGGTGCCAGGGCCAGCAGGATCTGAGGAAGGAGCTAGGCTGTGTAGTTCAAGATGGGGGCTGCTGGTCTTGCAGCGATCTGCAGGTGAGGAGCACTCAGGGGGCTTCTCCTGCACAGCTCTGCCCCTCTCCCCACAGCACTGCACAGCCACGTGCCAACGTCTTCATCATGGGGTGCTCTCTGTGCTCTCTGTTTTCTATCTGCTCCGCGCCCAAACTGAGAGGCCCTGGGATTTACTGAGATGGTCAACAGGTATTTGCACCCACAGCCAAAGCTGGAGGGATTGCTGCTCCAAGCAGATGATATATATTATAAGCTGCTAGAAGATTGGGCAGTACTCTTATCAGACTGGGCATCTAGAGATAAGTCAAGACTTAGGGCTTTATTTTCTGGGCCTCAGTCTGTGATGCACGAAGTGGGATACTAGAACCGCTTCACCCCTGAAGAGGGTGCAGAAATAAATGCGTGGTGTTTGTGGAACACCTGAAGATCACAGCAACAAGGGCTGAGCGAAGCCTGGATCGCATTTCTCTTGCAGGACTAGCATAGAGTTTGGCTCCTGTCCCTCAGCTCAGCCTGCAGCCCCAGCACCCACAGAGGGACGGGGTCCAGCGAGACCCTGGCTAATGTGGTCGCCGAGTGAGGCAGGAGGTCCTGAAGAAGCCCACACAGCACAGAAAGAGTTAATGTGACCGCAGCACATTTCAGTGCTGTCATTTTGGCTCCAAAGTGTGTGTGCAGTGTGGTGAATCCGTCCTGCAGAGCAGCAAACCACCCACATCACCTCTTGGACTAATGAGATGCTGCTGACTGCTGTCTCTAACGACTAGGAAGGGACCTCTCTGCTTGAAAGGGTCCAGTGCTGTGCAGAAAGGCAGCAGAGACAGGATGGGCTGTGGTCAGCTGAGACCCAGCAGCTCTGGGGTGTGATGCTATGTTTTGCAGCCAACACACTCTGGGTCCTCACACCAGTTGCTTTCCTTCTCTCCCCCCAGTTTCCCAAGCCATCCCACTGAGCTAAAAGCCACAGAAGAGCCAGTGTGGGCTTTCCCTGTAGGCTCTGAAGAGGTTCAGGATCCTTGTGTGGCTAGGGTTCAGCCGTGCAATGTGCCGTTTTGGCTCTGTGCTGATAAGCAGGATGCTTTGGAAAAAGCAGCTCCTGCTTTCTTACCCAAGTCAGTGTATCTGGTCCAGAAGAAGTGCCCGAGGCCACCAGAACTGAGCTGGAACGAAGGCTCATTCCTCTTCCTAAGCGAGGTGCCGTTCTTCAGAGATAAGGCGGCATGCTCTGAATACCGGTAGGTGATGAAGCCATATTTATCCCCCCTGAGCAACCAGAGAAAGAATTCACGCTGCGATGGGCCCCGCAGCCTCTCTGATGTGGCTCTGCCCAGCACTGCACCCCTGGCCCTCCATCCCTCCATCCCTCCATCCCACCATCCCACCATCCCTCCATCCCTCCCTCCCACCATCCCTCCATCCCACCATCCCGCCATCCTTCCGTCCTGCCATCCCTCCATCCTGCCGTCCCTCCATCCCGCTGTTCCCCCATCCCACTTGCTCTCCCCATGCCCTTGGACCCGGGGACACGCTGCATCTCCTTGCCCAAAGCACCTAGACCGTGGGCTCAGCCAACCGAGGGGGTTGGTGTGGCACGGAACACTTCATCCCACCGGCACAACCGCGTCACTGGTACACGCACAGCTGGATGCAGGGGTGACCCTGCACCTCCCGGCAGCGCTGGTGCTGCCGCAGGAGAGGGGCTGCCCGTAGCCACTGGAGCCCCAGACTGCAGCTCACTCGCCACCCACCTGTTAGTCCTGGACAGGACCTGACACTCCACGATTTCACCAAAGACTTCGAAGCGCTTCTTCAGTTCGCTGGAGCTCATGCTGCTGGAGAGGTTTCTGATGTACACCACCCGGCCTTCCCCCTGGCAAAGCAAGAGAAAGGTTTCAGGCTCCGGGAGCCCCGTCCCTCTGTGCTGCTGATGGGAAATGCAGGGCCACCGGCGAGCCAGCCCCAGGAACCAGGCTGCAGCGGGGCGATGCCACCACGGGCACAGCCTGACATCTCTGGGGTCTGGCTGTCTCTGCTCTGGCTAGTTCATGGGTGTCACCCCCAGGCCACCACTGCTGCAGGGGACAGCCACATCCACGTCTCTTGGGATGGTGTTACAGCCAGGCTGAAGCAGCCACCACCAGCAGCTTCTTGTTTAAATTTCTCCTGCATTCCCACAGCTTTTTCAGCTTCTGGTGAAGATGCCAGGAAGTACTCCCAAGAATTGCAATTCAATTGCATTGCAGATAAAAAAATGCAGGAGGCACGAGTGTGTGGGTACAAGAGTAGAAGACCAACAGTTATTTCCCCACATGCCCACCACCCCACCCAGCTCCCTCCCATGGGCACACGCAGGATGCCGGGTGCGTGAGGCTGCCTCTGCAGCGGGACCGCATCCACAACGGCTGAGCAGCCGCAGGGGTTCCCCAGCTCACCCCGCAAGTTGCTAACGCCGTGTGTGCCGAAGCCCAGCCTAGGATGCTCTGGGCATTTCTGCGCCAAGGACACCATGTATTGCCAATCGCCGGCGGCTTCCGCTCCACGTCAGGTTTTTCTCTTCCCCCTCCACCCCCACGTCCTTGTTTAACACTGGCCTCGCACCAAGGGATGCTGAAGCCAGGGCTAACGGGCTCCGCTGCCGCCTTTCTGGAGTGGGAGGTGAGCTAAGGGCTGGGGATTGCTGTGTGCCACCGCGGGGTCCCCGCTCACTTACGATGGCCTTTTCCCGTCTCTTCTCCAGCTGGCCCCGGTGCCCACTCCCGCCCTGACACTGCTCGCCGTTCTCACACCTGGGAAGCGAGGGAGAGGGGTCAGCCAGGGAACGGGGTAGGGCATCTGCTGGGGAAAGCTTCAGACCTCAAGGAGAAGCTTAGACACGTGGTGTCCGCATCAGTGAGTGGCTGGGTGCTCAGAAGCAGCCAAGGAGAGATGGGGGTCTGCAAACACTGGAAAGGACACTGCAAAGTCCTTCCTGACAGATGCTGGGGGGGGGGAGTCCCAGCTGGGGCTTGCCCCCCTTCCCAGGCACGGCTCCAGCCCCTGCCCCTGCCCCATCGCTTGCAGCACGATGGAAATCCCCGGCTGCTTCCCCTCAGTGTGGCTTTCTCTGGCCATGGCTGATGTTTTCAGCAACTGCTGATGTAGTACCAGTTATTTCAATGGGTTTTCTTTCGTTAATTAGCATCTTTATTATTTGGGCTAGGGGACCACACGCCGGAGCGAAAACACAGAGTGCAAGAACAGCCCCAAGTGCCCCCCTCGCCGCTGCCCCCCATACCTGAAGGTCCGTCTGCTGGCGGGCGATCGGGACCGGCAGCATGAAGACCCCGAGCTGGACCTGCTCCGGGAACAGTAATGCAAACTGGTCCTGGAAAGGGGGTTTCTCCTCAGGCACAGCTTGGTGTCGCCGTGCTCCTCGTCTTCCTCCTCTTCCTCCTCCTCCACGGGGGAGCCGCTCTCACTGCAGCTGTCTTCAAAGACAGTGTCGTACTCGGGGGTCTTGCAGAAGACCATGTCCTCGTCATCGAGAGCACTGTCCAGGCAGCCAAAGTGCTTCGTTAACCTGGCTCGGATCTCCTGGTCTCTCAGCTGCTTGACACCGTCCTTCCACAGCATCTCGCCGCCCGCCTCCTTCCCACCGAGGTCCAGCCCCTGGTAGTGGGCGGCGGGGACCCTCCTCTTGTGCTCCATCTCCACCTGGCTCGGGGGATCCCACGACTTCAGCACTTTCCTCTGCAGGGCAGCCTCGGGCTTCAGCACCTGGCAGTAGTCGTGGTCCCCGAAGGAG